TTGGTTGGTTGATAATAGTTATATCACTCGTTGCGTCTTTCGCTTTCCTAACAGCAAACATTACTTCTTCATTGTTAGGAATTTCTACTTATTTCTATCAAAACAATCCATATTTTGGTTGGAGTTTCTTGCGTAGCTCATAGCTATGTACTTTTTATTGGTGCTACCGACCGGACCTGAACCCAAGATAAAAATAAAATTTAAAACGTTGAAAAGCGGCTGCACTACACAATCTTCCTAAGCCTAATCCTCTTCTCCCCAATGCGTCTTCGGTGAAACTTGCGGAAGTTTAGAAATCATACATAATTATTACGAATAAGTCTGAATTAACATTGTCGGAATTTTTCCGATGGGGAATTATTCTTATGAATTTTTTTTCGGATCAGCATGCTCATCTTGATTGTCACACTCACAACGTTTCAACTGTGGTGCTCTCCGGTCTTCTTTAGGTGGCTGTCGTAATATGTATCCATTTTAGAAGATCGTTCTCAATTCGCTTTTCATGTTATTTCAAAAATCTGCCAAAATATGGTCACCTTGTGATATCTTAAGCTTAGCAAACATGGACACAAATATAGGACAGACTAGTTAGAGTTCGAACTTGCTGTTCAGTAGTAATGGCCAACCAAACAAGCTCGCTAGCAATTACACAACCTGCAGGCGCCCAAAATATGGTCAAGTTACTTTACACTCAAAATCTCTAATACAATATATATATATATATATATATATATATATATATATATATGACCAATATCACCATCTTTATTATTATTATTGTTCCTTTTTGTTTCTATTTATATGTATGAGAGACAAATATTAGATGTTTTGATTAATTGATTTTCTCGTGATTTTCAACCGTTTGCAGTTTATTAACGCCAGAATACTTTTAGGTTAGAAGAATTCTTTTGAGATTATAATGGTTTTAGTGATACAAGTTTTATTAATTAACTCATAGCTGGGGGAGAAAAGGTGTATTCATGCCTTTTCCAAGGGTATTTGCGCGTAAATGAATATAACGAACCCAACTGGCATTGGAACTCGGCTCTCCAATTAACAACACCGAGCCATTATCCATTACATCAGTTGCACATCCAAGCTTACAACATCTGCTATTCAAGAGCAGTCACCCATCTAGGTACTGACCAGGTTCGAGGTTGCTTAACTTCGGTGACAATTTTTTCGTCGTAATGTGGCCATAATCCCAAATATTAGTTCAGTCATTAGTTGAAGATATAATAGCAACATGTAATCGAAGTGTTTTGCATTTTCGTAATGACTTTTATTTATTATTATTATTATTACTATTATTATTATTATTGTCATTATTTCGAGAAAAAAGACATAGACTCGCCATGTTGATGATTGTATAAAAGTGATAATTTCGTTTTTAGAGATATTCTTAATGTCCTGTTTTGTTCACATATTGAGCCGAGTCTATTAGTTGGACTTTGGGCTACCATGAGGGTGCGGGGATTTATTTGATGATTAGATTCCTCCTTAACATCTTAGCAGTGAGGCAGGTGGCAATTTTCTGGACTTCATGTATCTTAATATTACCAGGGATTTCCTTGTTTTCACATCTTTTTCTTAACTAGTCCGAGAGCGCTTATTATTATTGGTACTACTGTGGTATTCATGCCCCACATTCTCCCAATTTCTATTTTTTGGTCTTTATATTTTCAGAGTTTTTGCGTAGTTTTCTTAAGATTGTTTCTTTGGGTGGGGACAGAGATATTGACGAGGAGATCAGTTGTTGTTGTTGTTGTTGTTGTTGTTCTTCTTCTTCTTTAAATACTATTATTATTATTATTGAGCAAGGGATCAGCACCACACAGAGACTAGGGTAGAAATATACATAGTTCAATATACCCATTATGATACCATTTCGATAAGGTGTACTAAGCATATGCATGACAAAAAAATGTACGCGATATGACGACAAAGTGGGCCCAAGTTAGAAATATCTTCATGTGGTGTAAACCAGTCGGCTCAGACCAGTCTCCGACTGAGGTCTTTCCTAACTATCTTGATTTGACTCCTAACTTGTATCCGGTAACGATGTTCACTTCCACTACTCCCACACCTGGACAGACATACAAACTGCGTTAATGGCTAGGTCGGGAGCAAACTCAAATCTGTGGCAATGAACGGGATATTTACTGTAGCTTATCTTAATTCGACAAAACAAAACATGTTAATGTTAACACCTCGAGACAGACAATTAAGATCAGAAACCACTAAAGCCATGCCTAGTAGAATACCAGGCATTTATTATTATTATTATTGTTATTATTATTATTATTTTCTGAAATTTCTGTTGTATACACATTTCCTTCCGGGTCCCAACCAGAGACCTAAGGTCAGAAATGGTTTCATGGCATTTTCCACTGATCATTTTTCGTAAAAACAACAAAAACCAAACCTAAGATCACACATATTTTACATAGATAAAGCTCTTCGTAATGTGTGAGCTGTACTTGCGAGTACAATTTTTTTG